TGAGCACTTACTCTGCACTGCCCTCTTCTCTGATTCCCCAGACAGCCCAGGATCAAGACAGGTATCCCCAATTTCTAGATGCAGCCTCTAAGGCTTGCACAGCGAATAAGTGGCATTGTTCAGATTGCAAACTTGCCTTGGCCAGGAAATGGTGGCTGGGGTATTGAGCTGCTGAGAGATGGCTGGAGCTTCCGGCTGGGGTGTGACTGAGGGCTGGCAAGGACCTCTTCTGTACTCCTGCCACCTAAGAACTGTGGAAATTGGGAACTGGCGGTAAATGGGAGGAGGGATGGGAACCTTGAACTGCAGTGGGGCCAGACAATAAGGGAAGGGGTAGTATCAGAGATCAGTCCTGGCACTCCCCCTGAGAGCCTGTGCAGGGAACCAGGACAGCTCCCCCCACTTCCTACCCCCACCCCCACCTGGGAGTTCACCTTTGCCTGGAGCTGGAGTATCTTGGCCCTTTTTATATACAGATGAGGGCACCTGGACTGAAGGCTCAGAGAGCTTGCTCTGGGTCACTTGGCAGGTGAATTGTAGATCTCAAATTTGAACCCAGGACTTTTGGGGGATTTTATTACATGTCACTGTACTATATAAGCTCCCTCCCTCCCCACTCTCCACACACACACACACACACACACTTAGTTTCTCTCTCACCTGAATGGTCTTGTCAGCTATTTAATCCATTTAAACCACCACTGACCAAACATCTGCTGTACTTCCTCCTGACACTTTCACAGATGCCAGCCCTAGAAGGTAGCAATTATTGTTGCCTTTTTTATTGTGGTAAAATATACATAGCATAACATTTACCATGTTAACCATTTTTAAGTGTACCGTCTGTGGCATTAAGTACAGCAGGTCCTCAAATAAACGTTGTTTGGTTCAACATCATTTCATTATAACGTTGCCGTGGGAACTTAACTCTTGTTTATATCAATTAGCCTGTGGTAAAATTAGTTTCATTATGCATCGTTTCACTTAAAGTCATAGAATCTATCAGTGACATTGAGGATTTACTGTGCATTATTGTTGCCTTTGTTTAATGCAACTGAAGAAACCGAATCTCAGAATGGTTATATTTGCCCCAGATTGCACAGCTGATTAAGGGCAAACTGAGATTTGAACCCTGATTTCAGAGTCCAGTTCTCTTTCCAGAATGTCAACTGCCTGCTGTTGTCTACCCTGAGTCTGGGGCCCCACCCAAGAGCTCCGATTGCATTTGGGCGGTACTAGCATTTCCTGGGGTAAGAGAAGCCTGGGAGGGGACATGAGGGCCCGTGCCCACCTCTCCTTCGCCCCGGGAGCTTTCTACTGTGCCCAGAGACCTGACTTGGCTACTCCTCCCCACTCCTTTCCTTTCAAACCTTGGATGATGAAACCTCCAGTTTCCTTCCTTCCCCCTCCCACTCTCCCCACAAGCCTTAGCAGCTCAGCTTCCGCAAACACACATTGAGTGTCAAGTCTGCAGCCATCCCAGGCGGGCTCCTTCACACCACACGTGCTGTTCCACTCCTGACATCTCTGAAGGCGCACGGGAGGGGCCGGTGACAGCAGGTGGTGGGCTTGGCGGGCGGGGGGTGTGCTACTCTCAGGGGGCTGGGTGGCAGCTCTGCTGTCTCCAGCCTCATAACACTCATTCCTGCCTCTCCCCCTTACCAGGAGGGTGGGTACTGTGGGGTGAAGGCCATGCCTAGCTGTTCTGCTGGCACTGCTACCTTCCACCCTCAAAGGCCAGAGAACAAGTACTTTGGGGACTGCTAAGGGCAACTCCAGGCCAAGATGATTTTCACCTCTTAGACTGGCAGGTGGTCTGAGGGAGCTAAAAGGCCTTTTGAAGTCATCCGAGCGGGTGCACCCAAGGAGGTGCCTCAGGGTAACCCTGGAGTTTGAGGAAAGGCTGACTGGTGGGGTTCTGTGGCCATCTTCTATGGCAGGCCCCATAATAGTTCTGTTTTCATCTATGTTATATATTAAGGTTCCAAGTAAGGTTTTCTTTTATATTTTTAAGTTTCTCTTAAAGGGGTTTTTAAAAACCATTGACCTTTTTCCTTGGTGAGAAGGACTTGCCCAAAGTTACTTAGGATTAGTGGCTGCGCCTAAACTGGGGCCCAGGTCCTAACTCCTAACCAGTGCTCCTTCTGCTCTACTCTGGCTTATTTGGACTCTGAGCTGCTTTCATAGGGGGAGGGCGATACAGCATGTCCCCCTGCCCCCGCCGACTCTCGGCCAGCCATCTCCACCCCTGCTTCAGAGCCCCCGTTCTTGGCTCCCGCAAGCCCTCGCATCTATAGCTCCCAGACTCCCCGACACCTCTGCTCTCAGCTCCATCTATGTCTCTCGCTTCAACAGGGATGTCTGGGTGCGCAAGTGTCAGTGCTGAGTGCGTCTCACACCCAAGCTGCTGCCACCCAAGTCCTGTCCCCAGGGAGGGAGGGAGAAAGCCAGGGGAAAGACAGACACAGGAGCAGACTAGGAGTAGGAAAGCCATCGCACCCTGCAGTGAGATAAGGAAGGAGAGAGAGAGAGACAGAGTGAAGGCAGATGGAGAAGAGAGAGAGAGAAATGTAAGAGAAAACGGGAGAAATCTGATGGTGATGGAGAGGAAGACATAAATGGGAGAGAGATGGGGAAGAAGACTCGGGGCAAAATAAAAATGGGCACGGGAGAGGGAGTACAAAGACACAAAGAAAAGATAGAAAGGTAGTTTGTGAGACAGACAGGAAAGGGGAGAGATGGAGACAGGTCTGGCAGGAGACAAGGCCTATTAGAGACAAGGAAATGTCACGTACCCTGGAGCTGCAGCCCTGTCACAGTGAGGGATGCGCTGATCCTGCAGTCTGGTACCAGGTCTGGCTGATCAATGTTGGGGGGTCCCGTTGCCGGCAGCCTGTCACATCCGTCCTCTGACATCCTCCTTCTAGAGCTGGTCCCAGCTTTCCTTCAGTACCCTCTGGATGAGCTTCTCATGGGGACCTCCAAGAGTGTGGTATTGCGGGGTGGTCTTGGGCTGATGCCTTTGCTGATATGTCAGCTTCCCTCCACTGGGGCTTGTGCAGAAGCAGAGGGATGGATGAACTGGCTTGCTCAGAACCTTTTGCTTGCAACAAACTTGAGGCTTGTTTTGGACTTAGTAGATTGAGGGGGCTGTGGCAGGTATTACATATAGCAAAGGTTTAGAGGAAACAGTGAATCAATAGAGAGACTGGTTAGATCTTGCCTTCCCAGGGTCAGGGTCAAGCATCCAGGGCTCCCCCCTCCCACTGGCCTCCAAACCTGTCCCCTGGTCCTGACCTGTGAGAAGACTGAGGGAGACTTGATCAAGTCCCAGAAGCTCAGGCCCCTCCACACTGAGTCACTTCTCTCTGGCTCTAGACTGAACCTTTCCTTCTCTCACCCAGGGGACCAGGCCTCTTAGGGCCCCTTGCCAGCCAATTGGTGGAACAGAGTCCTCAGGCCCAAGGGCTGCAGGGATGGAGTGAACGGGGGCCTCTTTTGTCTCTAGGGTTCATTAGCATTTCAGCTTCATGGTTGCATAGGCAGTTAAGGTGTGGGTAAGTCCATTCACTTCTCTGAGCCTTGGCTGTCTTATCTGTAGAATAGGAAGAACCATCCTGCCCTATGTGGGCATGAAACATGGCCATGGGCCCTGTGTTATGGGCTGTGGAGCTCAGGGCCAGCCTTGGATAGTGGCTGGTTCTTATTCTCTTTAGGGTTTGCTCTGGCCCTCTCTGCTGCGTAGCATGTTGCTGAGGCCCAGGAGATCCTCTGCATCATCCATTTATTCAACAGTCAATCATTCAGCACCTGTTAGGTGCCAGGCATTGTGCTAGGCACTAGGAGACAGCAGTGACTAAGTCAGGTAAAGGCCCTGCGCCTGTGGAGTTTGCAGAACAATAAAGAAGATCATTTCAGATGATGAATTCACTGAAGAGTCTATACACATGCCACTGTGACTGGGGACAGGAGGGTAGGAGACTCTTCTGAGCTGCTAGTTGAAAGGACCAGGTAGAACACTCCACAACGCAGCTGGGAGAGCTAGGTCCACGGTCCCGAGGCAGGACCGGACTGCCACATTTAGGGACCTGAAAGAAGGCCAGGGTGGCAGTGGCAGTGAGCATGTGGCAGGCCTCCTGAGAGGAGCTGTGGGAGGAGCGTGGCAGAACTACACGCCGTAGAGCCTAGACGACATGGCGAGGGCAGGTGAGGAGGGCGCTGTTATCCCCGGACTTGTGGGAGGCTGTGGAGGGTTGTAATCTAACTGGGGAACAGCAGGGTCCGATTTATGTTTCGTAAAGCTTTCTCTGGCTGTTGTGTAGAGAAGTGGTGGTTGCAGGATGAGAGAAGCACCCATTAGGAGCGTGTCGTAATATCCAGGAGAGAAACGGTGGTGGTTGAGCCTGAGGTGGGGTGGTGGGGGTGGAGCTAGAGAGAAGGGACCGAGATGTCCTCCCTCCATACCTGCTGTCCCAGCGCAGAGTGCTGCTCTAGATGTCCCTCCCAGTTGCCATGGATTAGGGGGTGGGAGGAGAGGGCTGGCTGCTGGGAGGGAATGTGGCTTTGTGCTTGGAAAACAAAGAACAGAGAGCTTGGGGCCCTCTTCTCCTGGGGTGGGGGCAGGCCGTGAGGCTGTTGACAGGACCAGAGGCTGAACCACAGGGCTGGGCTTGGCAGGAGCAGACTGTGCCCCCAGGCAGTGGGGAGGACCCCCCCCCAGAGCCCTCCAAGGGTGAACCGTGGGGCTCCTGGGCTTTGCAGGGGATGGTGAGGAAGGAGGATAGTGTGAGGGATGCTCAAACCCCTCCAGCCTGGAAGTCAGGCTGCTGGAGGGAGTTTGGGCAGAGAGAGCCCTGGGCTGTGGGGTTGGGAGGGGGAGGAAATGTGTTTGGAAACAAATGGGGTCCCTGGGGGCTGTGTGTGAAGGGATAAGGAAGTAAACACGACCTCCAGGACCCTGACATGCATGACTTGACCCAGCCACCTCGTCTCCCCTCCAGCTGTGCCACTGAGGCCCCACCCTTCCCGCCTTGAGGTGGGGGCCCGCCAGGATGAAGAAACTGTCTGGGGATTTGGCCAGCGACTTGGAGCGCAACCTGCCAGCCGTGGCCTCCCTGGGCTCGTCACTGTCCCACAGCCAGAGCCTCTCCTCGCACTTTCTCCTGCCACCTCCCGAGAAGCGCCAGACTATCTCTGATGTCCGCCGCACCTTCTGTCTCTTTGTTACCTTCGATCTGCTCTTCATCTCCCTGCTCTGGATCATTGAGCTGAATGTGAGTAGGGTGAGGCTGGGGGCACGAGCCATGTTGCGGGGCACATTTGAGCCTCAGTTACTCCATCTGCCATATGGGAGGGTTGATTTCGCAAATGAAAAATGCGAAGAACAGCTGTTTTTCTCACCTTCCAGAGAAAGAAAATGGAGCTCAGAAGGGTTGAGCCATTTGTTTAAGGTCTCTCAGCAAGTAATATGAAGGAGGCGGGGTTTGAACCCAGAGCCTCTGGCTCGGGAGTGTACACTCTTGAGCTCTGTGCCATTCTGTCCCCCTAGTGGACACTCTTGAGAAAGGAGGAGAGACCGCAACCAGCTCTGGTTGAGCTATTGAAACCTCTGTCTTCTTCCTGCCCTACATTGCTCTCTGGCTTCATCCATTCACTCATTTGTTCAACAAACGTTTTTTGAGCTCTTGCTGTGTCCCAGGCACTGTGCTAAAACAGAGGGTATAATGGGGAGCGAACCAGTAAAAATTCCCGGTTGCCAGTGGCTTTTAGCTCTCCCTCCCCATTTTGGACACTCCTCCATTGCCCCCCAGTTTGGCTTTCTGGGTTTGATGAGATGCCCTGGAGATGGAGCTGCCTCTCAGCACAGGGGCAGCACCCCCCGCCCTCTGTGCAGTGCTCGGCAGCTGGCAGTGAGGCCTGATCTCCAGGCACTGACGGGCAGAGTAGGACCTGACCACAGAAGCAGAAGCTGTGGGAACAGGGCATCCCAGACTCGGTCTTATCCCAGCTTCTTTGCATTAACTGGGATCTCTGCGAGGGAGCCTCTCTGAGCCTCCCCTCATTTTCCTTCTGCAAAATGAGACAGTTCTGGATGACAGATGACTTTTCTACAGGTCTCAAACTCGGGTGACAGGAAGAGGATGACTTTGTTGATAGAAGTGAGGAATTTGGAGAAGGGGCTGGTTTAGGGGTGAAGAAGATAAGTTTGATTCTGGGCATGTTGGGTTGGAGGACAAGGTAGGGGTCTCAGGGTGACTGTCCTTTGTCCACAGAGATGAGCTGGCACCTTCAGTGAGATAGAGCCACAACCACAGGGGACCTTAGGGACCGTCTTACAGATGAAAGAGCAGAGGCCCAGCAAGGTTCAGGGCTGTTCAGAGAGCTTCTGAGGCCTTAGCAATTCTTCCTTTTGAAGGTCCCATCCAACATCAAAGGAAGCACTGAAACTTACCCACATCCTTCATTCAATATATATTTTCTTGCCAGAAGAAAGCTGAAAAATATTTTGATTTTACTTTTGAAATGATCTGGCTGTATCGGCTGTAATAGCTCAGCAGTCATGCATACTTGGGAATTCTTGGAGAGGGAAAAAACATAACCTCCAAATTGTTTTCAAATGTAACGAAAAATTTCAGAATGCTGGATTTAACAGTTAGTAGAGTTAGCATAATGTTTCACTTGGTAGACAATTAAAATTTTTACTTTCAACTTTATAGTTTTATTTTTGTATTTTGGAGCTTGTATATTTTTAGTTCTCCAACAGACCATGTGGGTACGAGGACCCCAGCAGGTTGCAAGTCCTGCGCAGGGTCTTGTTGCCAGATACTGGCAAAGCTGGAACAGGGACTCGGCTCTCCTGAGTCCCGATGCGGTCAGCTCAGGCGGGTACCCTGGTGGAGGGGGAGTTCTCTGTAAAGAGAAAAGGGTGGAGGACAGAGCTGTGAGGGACAATGACTGTTAGAGGTGGGAGGGGCTGTGGAGCCCAAGTGGGAGCAGTTTAAGGAGAAAGTAGAGGGCCTGAGTAGGGCGGGATGGGGTGTCAGGCCAGGGGATGGGGGCGTTGGACTCTGGAGGGCTCAAGATGGTCTTGAAGTAGAGGCACGTGGAGGGGATATAGAGGGGATTTCTAGCATCAGTGGTGGTGGGGGTTGGGGGGCTGTCCAGACTGCTGGCTCCCTCTTTGAGCATCGGAATCACCTGGGAACTTTATAAAGTTTTCAGATGCTCAGCTGACCTTGAGATTCAGACTCAGTGGTCTGAACATCTGTATCTTTAACAAGCCCTCCACCCTAAATTCAAACCATTTGCCAGAGATTAGAAACCTCGGTCTAGGTGGTCTAGGTGGTCATGAAGGGTCTTCCCCCTCAGGCTACAGTCTGGCTCTTGGCATTCTTTCAGACCTTCTCACTCCCTAGCCAAGGTTTCAGAGGTCGCATTGAAAATGTGTGGGTGGCCAGGGCAGGGACAGGGGCAAGGACAAGTCTGCTCACTCTCCATGCCATTCTCTCTAGCAGCGTGATGGATTTTACCTATTAAGCACAAACCTAATCAATTGATTTGCCACCTGGGGCTCCGTCTGACACCGCTGCCCACCCTCGGCCCCCATCACCCCAGATGGATGGTTGGCTGGGAAGGTGGGCACCGCAGTTGTGGGAGGGAGATGAAATTATGTGAGAGGCAGGCTCCCAGCACCCTGTCAGCCAGCCCTACCTACCTGCATGGGGCTCATTACCTCCCCTGCACGGCCCCGAGGCCCTCCAAGCCTACCCCTTCCTGGGCAGTGTGCCCATGAGCGTCAGTGCTCAAGCCCAGCCTAGGCCTCCTGGATCCTTAGAGGAACAGTATCAGTGCTGGGGCCCCAGGCCCCTGGCTGAACTCCCTTGCTGCTTCCGGGACCTCCTTGGGCAATGACTTAGCACTGACAGCCTCTCCTCCAGGTTCCACCCTCCTCCTGCCTCTTCCCCATTCCGGGAGGTGAGGGGCAGCCCCGGGGACTGGGTTTTGCCTGCAGAGCTGTTTGTATCTCCCTCTTCCAGACCAACACAGGTATCCAGAAGAACCTGGAGCAGGAGATCATCCACTACAACTTTAAAACTTCCTTCTTTGACATCTTTGTGAGTGACCGTAGGGTCCTGGGGGCAGAGAGGGAGCAGGGACATGACTCTGGCTAGACTCTCTTCTTTTGGAAACGCACATTCTCACCTGATCAGAGAGACTTGGTGCCCATCCTCAGGGAGCCTTCAGTCTTCAAAACGTTTCCTAAATGAGACCCCCAGTCGGAGGGCAAGACAAGACCCCTGTCCAAGAAGGTCACATCCGAAGTGTCCTGAAAGAAACACTGACCCAGACGTTTCCTCCTGCAGCACGCACACCCATGTGGAGGGAACCTGGGGGAGCAGGACTGGAGGGGGAGGTCAGCCTTCAGAAGGGGTAGGCGACATCGGCTTGCCTGTGACGGCTCCCCCACCTCTGGCCCCCAGGTCCTGGCCTTCTTCCGCTTCTCGGGACTGCTCCTGGGCTACGCAGTGCTACGGCTCCGGCACTGGTGGGTGATTGCGGTAAGAAGCCACTTTCTTGGCAGTTCTGGGGCCCTCGTGGGGCTGGTGCCAGGGATGGGATGGAGGGAGACTCACTCTCCAGCCTGCTTTCCCTTTCTCCTTCCTTCCTTCCCTTGAGCAGGTAACGACGCTGGTGTCCAGTGCCTTCCTCATTGTCAAGGTCATCCTCTCTGAGGTCAGTGGCTCTGGGTTTGGCTGGTCTGGTGGGCGTCTGGCCTGAGTAATGGGCTTCTCCTCCTAAGAAGAGACCATTTCTCATATTTTGGGTTTCTGTCCCTATCGTCAGGGTTGAAGTGAAGAGACAGCCTGTCCTTTGATATTTCTAAGGAATCATCTTCACTGGCTTCTTCTGCTTGCCCCCATTGCAGCCCCAAGAACAAAGTCTTTCATCCTCCAGTCTAACCTCAGTTTATCCTGTAGAATTCATTAATCCATCTCAGAGGCATGTGCCATAGAGGGTCCCCAAGCAGCTGGTACCAGGAGAGGGATGTATGCCAGAGTCGACAGCCCAAGGAGGGGTCTCTGCTCTGGGTTTAGGATGACCCTCTCCCATGGAGCTCAGCCCCCTCCCTCCACAGCTGCTCAGCAAAGGAGCATTTGGCTACCTGCTCCCCATCGTCTCCTTTGTCCTTGCCTGGTTGGAGACCTGGTTCCTTGACTTCAAAGTCCTACCACAGGAGGCGGAGGAGGAGCGATGTGAGTGTTAGGGGTATGGGGTGGGGGACAGTGAGGGTCATCCCAGCCCCAAGAGAGGAGAGTTTCAGGCATGAGAGCCAGTTCTAAGCCAGTTCTGAGCCATATTGCCAAGTCGAGCAGCTTCCAAGAGCCTAAGGGTGAGCCCCGGGCGGAGGTTCTCCGGGCTGCCAAGGTTTGACTGTTCTTGGTCTGGAACAATGGCTGCCCATGTCTGCTCTCTCAGGGTATCTTGCTGCCCAGGCAGCTGTCGCCCGCGGACCCCTACTCTTCTCTGGAGCTCTGTCCGAGGGCCAGTTCTATTCACCCCCAGAATCCTTTGCAGGTGATGGGTTGGTGGGTGGGGAACTACCTTCAGGGAGGGGCTTTATAAGGTGTGGGGTAGGCTGGGTCTATTTCTATTCCTTCTATGGGCTCCCTGGGGAAAGCCAGCAACCCCCTCCCACACGCACGCTTCCATCCCCCCACATCCTGCATTTGTACCGAACCCCACTCTCTCCCCACTCTCTCCCCACCTCTTCCCATTGTCATCTGAGCTCGTTCTCTGCAGGGTCTGACAATGAATCAGATGAAGAAGTTGTTGGGAAGAAAAGCTTCTCTGCCCAGGTATTTGGCTGCCCACCCCACCCTGCCTTCTGAGTGGGCACCTGGAGAAGGGCCAGTTCTGGGTTCAGCCAGGGTGGGCAGGGGCTTCGCAGCAGGGGGTGGACCTCAGCAGCCCAAATGCCAGTCAGTACCCATTCGAGCGTTGACCCCACTGTCTGTCAGGCCCACTGGTCTGCCTCATACCTGGGAACCAGTGGGAGCAGCCACAGTCACAGTCACAGCTCTTGGCCCCCGGAGCCCTGCAGGGCCCAGGAGACCAGCTTACACCCCATGTCTGGTCAGGTCAGGCTTCCATGAGACGCGTGGAGTGTCTAGAGAAAGAACCAGCCACAAACAAGATGGGGTGCAGGCCCAAGGCTGACCCCCTCTTGCCTCCCCTCCCTGGCCAGGAGCGGGAGTACATCCACCAGGGTAAGGAGGCCATGGCGGTGGTGGACCAGATCTTGGCCCAGGAGGAGAACTGGAAGTTCGAAAAGAATAATGTAAGAAACCTCTCTCCCACCTGACCCGCTTATGTGTGTTGGGAGTGTTCACTCCCTTCTCTGAGGTCTGAGAAATAAGATTCGAGTTGGAACCATCTCCCTGCCGCAGGAGAGCAGGAGAGGGGGCTGGGCCCTGGGGTCAGCCACTTGGCAGGAGGTCAGGCTGGATCGGGTGTTTCCACCGCCCCTCCCCACTGCTTCCCCCTCCCCATGACCTCCCCGCAGCTTCACCTCCTGCTGCTCTGCTCCCTCAGCTCAGCTTTGAAGGCGAAGCCAGGCTTCTGCCCTGTGTCTGGTGTTTCGTTTCATGATCAAAACAATATTATCTAAAAAGATAGCGGAGAGCTTGGAAAACAGAGGAGAAACATCCCACCCTTTTCCTTTCTCTGGCCAGTTCCTCTGGCAGCCCTTGTCGGCTTGGAGACGTGGTTCTTGGTGGTTGCAGCCACAGCTATGTTTCTGTCTTTTAACTCGATATCAAAAGCCTCTCTCTCCTTGTTGCTGGACGTTAGTCAGAAGCACTGTTTTTTTAACGGCTGCTCTAATATCTGCGGACTCCTAGAGTTTTCTGCCCTGAGTTGTTGAAAACCTGACCTACCTGTCACCCATTCTGGCTCCAGCAGCCCATCTGCTACCCCATACCCTTCCTCATCCTCCTCCCACCTCCCTGCTACCCTTCCGTCCCTCCCACAGGAATATGGGGACACTGTGTACACCATCGAGATTCCCTTTCACGGCAAGACATTCATCCTGAAGGTGAGCGAGAGAAGTGGGTGTTTCTGGAGTGTCCTGGAGCCTCCTGCTCTGTCTGGGACTCCAGGAAGGGGCCAAGGGGCCCTCTGGCAGGTTTCTCCCCACCAAGAGGGGAAGGCTAGTGTGCCCATGCATATCTGGCACCACCCAGCCCTCCACCTGCCCTGTTCCAGACCTTCCTGCCCTGCCCTGCGGAGCTGGTGTACCAGGAGGTGATCCTGCAGCCTGAGAGGATGGTTCTGTGGAACAAGACAGTGACCGCCTGTCAGGTGAGCTGAGCCAGGGGTCCCGACCTTGCCACCTATCAGGGCAGAGGCTGAGCGATGTGGTAGGTCCAGGCAGTCATGCCCCAGCATGACCAGTTACCCGCAGGGGGACCTGGGTCATGTCATTGAACTGCGCTCTGCCTCAGCTCCCCCATCTGTAAAATGGGGATGTTGGCGACAGTGCCTCTCGGAGAGGGTCAGGAAAGTGGGAAGGAGTGCTCACAGAGTGCCAGGCCCAGCACTCCCGAATGGGAATGGCTCTCAGTAAAAGGACCTGAACAGAGAGCAGGCTGGCCTGCGGGGTTCCCTGTGGTGCTGAGACCCTGTGTTTGGGGTTCTCCTGGGGTGGGCTGCACCTCACCTCTCTCCTGACGGCCCACAGATCCTACAGAGAGTGGAGGACAACACCCTCGTCTCCTACGATGTCTCTGCGGGGGCTGCAGGTGGTGTGGTCTCCCCTAGGTGAGTAGCCACCAGGCTCCTCCTCTCAAGCAGGCCTCCTGTCCCTGCATCTTGGGCTTGGCACCCGCTGACCTAACCCTCCCTCCCCCAGGGACTTTGTGAATGTCCGACGCATCGAGCGGCGCAGAGACCGATACCTGTCATCAGGCATCGCGGCCACCCATTGTGCCAAGCCCCCAACACACAAATATGTCAGGTGAGCCTCGCCTTGCCCTTCCCACCTGCCCCCTCCCCCACCCCGGTGGCTGTGAGAACAGGGCAGGGTACAGCATGTACAGCTGGGAACTATGTCCTGCTGAGGCCTCCTTCCTGTCCCCTATCCCACTGGGCTTTGCCCCTCCTGGCCCCTAATCCTGCTAATCAGCTGCTTTGTCTGCTGGAGACTTAGGGAATAATGGCTGGAACCATGCCACCCGCGCTGGAGGGCAGCTCCAGGGGTAGAGCAGGGAAGAGAGCCGGGAGCCGTGAGGCCACGCTGGTCCAGGCGACCTGAGCAGGAGGCTCTGCATTCTGGGCTTTCACCTTCCTGCCTGAGGAGACTCTAGTTCCCTTTCCTCCTCCTCTCCCCACCCCGCTGACTTGCCTTTCTCCTGGAGCTCTCAGAAGTCCCACCAGAGGAAGAGGAGTTAAGCGTTCCCTGCTGCTGTGCCGGGGCATTCTGCAGTTTTCTTCCTGTCTAATCTTAGACTCTAGTACTGCAGATAGTCTTCTCCCAGATACCCTACTCTTCCCTCAGCCTTCCTGGGGTTCTACAGAGGAGCACAGTTCTTCGAGCATCAGACCAGGACTCTGGTCCAAGTAACACCACAGACTTGCAGGGTGACAGGCAAACTCGTTTCTTCTCAAAATGCCAAATTCCTTATCTATGTAGTGGGCTTAGGAGTGCTCTGTGGAGCTGTGGGCAAATTAAATGGATATGAACCATGCAGCCCAGGCCCTGACCCAGAGGGTGCACCCTCCTGGAGCCCACCAGCACTGCACTGCCCACCCCACCCCACCCCGAGTTTGGCAGGGGTGAGAAGTGCCCGACCAGCCCACCCCTTCACAGCTAGACTTGACCTGGACTCATTGGACAGAGTAGATGAGGGTTGGAAGGGTGGTGAGCTCCTTGCCACTAGGGGTGTGCAAACATCGGCAGGCTGTTATAAAAGGGTTTAAGCTTCACAGTGGGTGGGGATGGAGGGCTGTGGCCTCTAGGACACCTGTTCTGGTCCCTGCTGAGGCCAGGTAGCAGTCGCTAGACCATCAGCTCCCTTCTCTCTTCCACCGTAGTCCAAGATGAGCCAAGAATGGGTTGGGGGTGTCAGGGGCCTTGCCTGGCTCCAAGGTCCCACCTGCAACGGTGTCTCTCTCCTTAGGGGAGAGAATGGTCCTGGGGGCTTCATCGTGCTCAAGTCAGCCAGTAATCCCCGTGTCTGCACCTTCATCTGGATTCTTAACACAGATCTCAAGGTGGGGGTGCTAGGGCTGCAAGGCAGGCTTGATGGAGTGGAGAAGGCTCTGCTGTGTGACCTTTGGGGCTCCCTGCCCTGCTCAGGGTCTCTGCTGCTCTCCACCTCCTTTCTTACTGTCAAATTTGGGGCAGGGTCTGGATGGTCTTCTCACCCTGAGCTGCTAGAGGGCCTGTGCCTCCCGTTTGTTACCTCTGACTCTTGAGGTCCCAAAGAGGGGTGGCTGGCTGCCAACCCAGCCCTTCCTGGGTCTGTTTGTGTGGCTAGAGCCAAGACCTGGGCACAGCATGTTCTTCCTGCCAGGGGCGAGGGGGGTGGGGGCGCCTAGGCTGCATTCCAGAGCTACACCTGCATTCTAGCCCAGAGCACTCCCCACTGAAGCCAGTTGTTGAGAAGGGAGTGCCTGCTTGTGGGGAGCCCCTGCGGAGGGCAAGCCGGCCTGGGCCTGGAACTTCTTCCCACCTTCCCTAGGGCCGTCTGCCCAGGTACCTCATTCACCAGAGCCTCGCAGCCACCATGTTTGAATTTGCCTTTCACCTGCGGCAGCGCATCAGAGAGCTGGGGGCCCGGGCGTAACCATGCCCCATCGCCACCCTGCAGGCCAGGGTCCTGTCGCCACAGCCTCCAGAGCCAGAGAGGGGCCATGGGACTGCCCATGGAGGACCTAGCCTCAGACAGTGGGAGAAAGAAGTTTCCTCCCATGGCAGCCCCCTGGCCCCAAGCTACCACCCTCCACCATGCTTTGCTGTGCCTGGGAGCCACAGCCTTGAGCAGGTTGTAGGGTGGAGCATCTGGACGCCGGGGCCCGGCCATGGAAGCGAGCGGGGTCTGTCCTGCTGCTGTTTACATGATGTCCCCGCCTCCTGGAGGATCCTCTTTCCCCTGCCTAGCCACTGGCAGGGTCCGGAATGGGAGCCTCAGACTTGGTGGGTGAGGGCTGAGTCCCTGGGCAAGATGGAGGCCAGAGTAGCCTTGTCACCGGTGTTAAGGTACAGGAGCCCCTTCATCTGCCTGCTGTGTCCGCACTTTTTTTTTTTTTTTTTTAGCATTATTTAAAGGGTCTGAGACCTTTTACCACATGTACTTGTGGGGGAGCAGGTGGAAGGTAGGGATGGTGGGTGCTGGCAGTGAACCTCTACCCCGCCCAGGTTCTCTCCCTTCCCCCAGGGCCTCCTTGGGGACCTTTGTAACTTGAGCCAATTAAAAACATGAACTCAAAAAAAAGCAACTCTCCCAGCCTGGCCTCTTGAGGGAAGAGGAGGAAAGCACCGTGCAGGTGGGTAAGGAATAGCCTTTGCCGTGGCCAGATACATGACACACCATCTTACACCCTGGAGCTAGTGGGGACCCAGTTCCTGGAACCCTCATCCCAACCTCTCCACACTCACACATGTTCCTGAATGGTTCAACTGGGCAGATGACTGGTCAGAGAAAAATACTTCACCCACCCCCACCCCCCGCCCGCCGCCAGGCTTCCTGTGAGGGACGGTCAGGTTAAGGTCTCCAGTCCAGCATTTGGGAGGAGGTAGGGGAGACCAGCAGCACCCACAGCAGGCCCTGGCTATACCTGGGGTCCCAAGGCCAGTGGGGGGCAGGGGAACCTGGAAGTGGGGCCTGGGCTTCCTGGTTACTGAGGCACCTCTGAGATCTCTGCCTCGGGCTTGGGCTTCGCTCACCTACCCACTCTGTCCTGCCATACCCAACTAAGGGCAGCACACTCCCAGGCAAGGGCCAGGGTGCTGCCTTCTTCCTTCTCCGCCTGCAGGCTTCCAAAGGAGTTGACTTGCTGGTGTGTGACCCTGGGCAAACCTACATCTTAGTCTCCATTTCCTACTTTGTAAAAATGGGAGACTCATTACGTCACAAGGTTATAAGATTAAAAGGCACTAAGAATCAGGTATAGCGCCTCAGTAATCAAAGGTATGTAGTCTGCCCCACTTGGGTGCCCATAGACTTTCCCAGCTGCTGGGTGCTTTATCCATTCAATGATGCCCTCGCTTCTCCCTCCCCTCCCCCACCCCGTGCCTTCCACCCTGTATGCCAGCTTCTTGCACCATGAATTGCTGTTCTTGGGTGCTGGGCTGTCCCAGCAGCCATCCTCCCATCCTGCTCCCCATGAACAAGAGCCAGGCCCCTCCCAGGTAGCACGCTGAGCTGGCAGCCCTAGAGCTCTGGTCAGGCCTTTGTGACCAGAAAGTGGGGAAAATGTATCCCAGGAAGGGGCAGATACTGCCCATATTCACACCTACTTGTGGCTGACAGGCTAGAGCCAGATCTGCTGACTGCCACTCGTCAGAGCCCCTGGATGGCCATCTCACCCTGTTTCACCCCACTTGGGGTGTTGAGAGTAGAGCTGGGGGCCACTCCAATACCTACTCCCTCCACTCTGAGTGGCCCGACTTGGGAGACCACTTCTCTGACCACTGGCCACTGGGAAGAACCATACCTGGCAAAGGTTCGTTCCTAGGCTCCCAAGTGTGGAGTGAACTGCCATTTTCCCTGCTGGTGTGTCGGTCAGGAACCAGGCCTTTAGATGCAGATGCCTGAGGACGTGATTGCATTGTCCATTCCTGTCAAGGGGCATGGTCCAGGGATGTGCCCTTGAACCCAGGCAGAGGAGAGCAGTGGAGTGCGGGGGCCGCCTGCCTGGTACAGAGCCCAGAGGGGCCTCAGATCCTGCACTTTCCTGCTCTGTTTACAGACAAGCTGCTATCCTCCTTGGGTGAGGGGAAAGGGGTGGAGCAGAGGGCAGGTGCCAAGGTGGCACGAGGCTGGGCATGTGCCTGGTCTCAGACAGTGTCTCAGGAGTATCAGACACCTGGAAGTGTCACTCTGAGGACCCCTGCCCCCACTGCAGTATCTTAGATTTCTTCCGAAGCTGACCTCCAACCTGGAACCAGCCCGAGTCCAGGTACCCCAACCCCTGCCCTGGGCCCAGAGTCCCCCATCAGAATCTTGGCTCTGCTTTTAGCATCTGACGCCAGAGGGGCTGAAAATAGCCCCTGGAGGAGGAGGAGGAGGGGGCTATTTAAAGGGCCTGGGAGGAGCGGAGCCGAGGGGGTAAAGCTGATCATGGCCACTTCAGAGCTGAGCTGCCAGGTGTCTGAGGAAAACTGTGAGCGCAGAGAGGCCTTCTGGGCTGAGTGGAAGGATCTGACACTGTCCACGCGGCCTGAGGAGGGGTGAGTGCTGGCTAGCTGGGGTCCCTCCTCTCTTCCCCTAGAGCACCCTCCCTGAGTCTTATGAAGCCAGAGCACAAAGTTTCTGGGGGTGGGGGCAAGGAGAGTGCCCACTTGGGAGAGTGAAATGGAGTCACCCCTCCTGCATCCAGGGATTCCCCCCACCCAGCCCATGACTAGAGGGCAACAAGTTTCAGGAGCTCAGTGCCCCCTTCCCTCTCCTCCCCAGTTGCTCCCTGCACGAGGAGGATGCCCAGCGGCATGAGACCTACCACCAGCAAGGACAGTGCCAGGCACTGGTGCAGTGTTCCCCCTGGCTGGTGATGCGTATGGGCATCCTTGGCCGCGGGCTGCAGGAGTACCAGCTGCCCTACCAGCGGGTGCTGCCGCTACCCATCTTCACCCCCACCAAAATGGGTGCTGCCAAAGAGGAGCGCGAGGATACCCCCATCCAGCTGCAGGAGCTGCTGGCACTGGAGACGGCCCTGGGTGGGCAGTGCATGGAGCGCCAGGACGTGGCGGAGATCACCAAGCAGCTGCCCCCTGTGGTGTCTGTCAGCAAGCCAGGCACCCTTCGTCGCTCTCTGTCTCGCTCCATGTCCCAGGAAGCACAGAGAGGCTGAGAGGGACTGTGACTCGGGCTCCACAGTGCCTGCTTTGGGCTGGGCCCTTCCTGGCTAAGGCCATGGAGGGGAGCTGCTGGCCATGGATGCTTTGTAGTTTGCCCAGAGTTGGGGGCTAGAGGAGGAGGGAGCCAGAGGCCAGGATGCCTGGGTCCCCTGAGTTCCCAAAGGGAGCAAAGATAGTGAGCACAGCTGAGTACGCCCAGCCCCAGGAGAAGGGACAAAAGATGCTGGTGAGGGTGAGAAGTCCCTGAAACCTGGTCCAGATTTCAGCTTCAGAGAAGGACAAGAAGTGTACAGGGATCTGGAATGCTCTGGGAAGGAGGCGTGGAGAAAGCAGGAGGGAGGGGGATGTGAAGAGGGCAGAGGCAGAGTGGAACCCCCAGCACCCCCATTAGCGCTGCAATAAATGCTCAGTCATGTTCCGGTTCTGTGTCCTTCCTTGTGGTTGTGGTGGCCAGCCCATTGGTGTCACACCCCCCCCCATGCCCACTTCTGGGAACGGGCCCTGTATCTGAGCCAGATATGGCAGAGCTAGTAGGTATACCCCATTTTGGGGCTGAGGGGAGGAACAGAGCTGTAAATAGGGTGGCTGTCCAGTCCTCCTTCTGTACTCTGACTCTGCTGTGCAGTCCTGGCCTTCATGTCCAGTCCCCTGGAACTGGGCAGTGCCCAGGAGGCCAGCTGGCATCCAGGGTTTGTTTAAATAATCTCATGGAGAATATGGAGGGAGCTGGCACTAGGACTGTCCTTGGCTGTGCCTCAAGGTGTGGATGGAGTCAGTGACCTTAAGGCTGACCTGCCTCTCAGTTCTGAATCCAGACAGAATCAGTCCTTGGCTGGGTCCAGGTCCTCCACCCTCCCTCTCCTGGGAGCCCAGGGTGGGTTGTGGGGTTGTCGGGGGTGTGGGGAGGTCAGGCTCTTGTCTGTGACCCCTGCAGCTGTTATGGTGACTCATGTTCTAATCTGGCTGCCTGGCCCAACGAGGAGACACTTTCCCCTTGGGACAAGGGAGGCCGGATGGAGGTGTACAGAGGAGGCCAGGGGCCCATCCTGGCAGGGGCTGGTAGCCTACCCAGGACGGAGAGGTACTGGACTGACCAGGAAGACCAGGGAGATGATCTGTAGCATTCGTTTCGTATTTGAGGGGATAAGAGAGGAGACCCTGGCATCTTGACACCCTGGTACCTGAAGTGCCAAGCAGGACCAGTAGGCCTGGCCAGGCTCACTCCCCTAATGGGTGCTGGAGTGTGGGCTGGGAGAGAAGAGGGGTCAGGAATCCCAGACCAGCGACCCCAAATCCCTCGAAGCCCGAAGGCTGGGACTACGCCTTTTGGTGGCCCTGGCAGCATAGAAAATGTGCCCTGCGCCCTCCCGCCCTCACCTGGGTCCCGTGCTCCCAACGTGGCTGGAACATCCCGAGCCGTCCGTCCTCAGCAGCCCCCAGATAAGCGGCTAGGAGCCCGCAGGGCCCATAGAGAAGGTCCGGCTGTTCTACCTTTTAAGTACATTAGGCCCTCTCGCCTTCCCTATCGCTGCTGCCATCGAATGGGCAGGCGGAGCTCCGCCGTGGGGCCCCGGGGCGACCGTGGTGGAGGCCAGAACGGACTGTCCTTTCTGCAGTGGGAATGGGCGGGGGCATTAGAGGACGCGGGTAGGAGAAGGGGAGTTGGGGTGACCTTGCTAAGGAAAGAGGTAGATGTTGGACGACAGGTTGTCCAAGAGAAAGGGAGCCTGGCGTGGGGTCCGGGCCCTTGGAAGGACGGCTCTGGTAGTTGGGGACTGGGGACAGGGCTAGTTCAAACTCTGGCAGAAGAGAAGGGATGGCATGCTGGGCAAAAGGGGGTCATGGCTGCGGAAGCTGGAGAAGAGCGACGGGAGGAGCTTGGGGCCGGTGGGGCAGGGGATCTAAGGATAATGGGCATGGGAGGCTGAGGTGCAGGGTGAGGGTAGAGGGCAGCGGGAGCAACTGTGCAACAGGGGCGGGAACAGATGTTCCAGCGGCGGCCGCCCACACCCGCGTCTGTCTTTTGCTGGGACACTAAAGGAGATGGATGAGGTGGGGGAGACGCAGCGCCTGGCCCCGGGCTGGTACGCTCTCGGCCGCCGCCTCCGCAGCGCAGGGGTCGGGGCGGGGGTCTGGCCGCAGATAAAGGGACAGCGAGGCGAGTGGGGGACAGAGCGGGCAGCGGCAGCAGCATGAGCGCGGCAGATCCTGGTCACGGGGCGGGCGCAACCCCTGACTCGCACCCGGGCCGGGCGGCGGTCGCCTCGGCTTACCAGAGCTTCGAGCCCCGCGCCTACCTCCGCAACAACTATGCGCCCCCGCGAGGGGACCTGAGCAGCCCTGACGGCGTCGGGCCTTGGAAGCTGCGCTGCTTGGCGCAGACCTTCGCCACCGGTGAGCGCGTGGGAACCGAGGCGCACAGGAAGTCATCAGGGAGCTGAAGGGGCGCATAAGAGACCCAGATGGGGACCAAGAAGCAGAGATAGGTAGTTAAGAGATGAAAATAGAAGGGGAAGAGGAGCGATATCCTTTAGGTGAGGGGCAGAGGAGAGACAGGTGGAGAGGGGCGGCGAGGGGAGAATGCTCAGAATTGAGAGGTGAGGTGGGGATGAAAAGAGACGCAAGAAAAGAAATGGAGACAATATGGGGAGGAGGGAGAGACAACTGAGAGAAACTGCCAGGCACCAGAGGATTCCCCCATTTAATCCTCACGGGTAGGTGTGGTTTTATAGATGTGGAACCTGAGTTTCAGAGGAGTTAGGTTCCTTTGCTGGGGGAAGTCCGTGGATGTTGGAGCCAGAACTCAGACCTTGGTTAGTCCTATTCCAGAGCCAATGCTTTTTCGTGACAGACACACATAGAGGGAGGAGGAGAAGCAGTTAAGGGAGAAGTAACTGAGGTGGGGGAGGGGGCACCTGGACAGGCCTGGCACCAGGACCCCCTTCTTCTGCCCCACCTAGGTGAGGTGTCTGGACGCACCCTCATCGATGGTTCAGGCGGCCCCACCATATACCAGCTGCTTAGCGCCTGTACCCACTTTGAGGACATCACCATGACAGACTTCCTGGAGGGGAACCCCCAAGAGTTGGGGCTCTGGCTGCGGGAGGAAGCTGGGGCCTTTGATTGGAGCACGTATAGCCGGCACGTCTGCCTCATTGAGGGCAAGGGGTAAGGGCTAGGGGATGAGAGTTGGGCAGGGGGCCTCCCATACAATGGCTAATGGGGGGAGGGTAACAGAGGATTGAGTGTGGGGCTGTCCTGAGCCTTGGTCCTGATGCCACCTTCTGCCCCTGCACAGTGAGTCCTGGCAGGAGAAAGAGCACCAGCTTCGAGCCACGGTGAAGAGGGTCCTGCCCATTGATGTGCACCAGCCCCAGCCCCTGGGTACTGGGAGCCTGGCTCCCCTGCCTGCTGATGCCCTGGTCTCTGCCTTCTGCCTAGAGGCAGTGAGCCCAGATCTTGCCAGCTTCCAGCGGGCCCTGGACCATATCACCACACTGCTGAGGCCTGGGGGGCACCTCCTCCTCATTGGGGCCCTGGAAGAGTCGTGGTACCTGGCTGGGGAAGTCAGGCTGGTAGTGGTGCCAGTGTGTGAGGAAGAGGTGAGGGAGGCCCTGGTGCACAGCGGCTACGAGGTGCGGGACCTGCGCACCTACACCATGCCTGCCCATCTTCGGACAGGTGTAGACGATGTCAAAGGCATCTTCTTTGCCTGGGCCCAGAAGAAGGTCGGGGTGTGATGCCCCAGTGCAGCCAGTGCCAGCAGCCCTCATCCACCCATATTCCCTATTATCTGAGGTGGCACCTAATAAAGAAATGTCTCTGCTGCTGAGTGTCAGTGCTTTCTGTAGCTCTCCTGGGAAGCATCAAGGACCAAGAGCTTGCTCTTATGTTGTGGGGATGTGGGAAGACATCGATCCTAACCGTTTTTTCCAGAAGCTTCCATGAACGTAGGTTTCTGTACCACTCATTCTTCCCAAACTAAGGAAGGCCTAGGTCAGAGGGACCTCGGTCAGCATCTACTGTGTGTCAGGTACCTACCAAGTCCATTTGGTCCTCATACTCAGCAGCAGGTCCAGTTATCCTGTTTGCAGATGAAGCTCAGAAAGGTTCAGGCCAGAAGGGGAGGATGGGGGTAGAATTAAGAGACTGAGCGGAAACTGAAGGAGGCAGGGTTACAATCTAGGCACAAACAAAAGCCCAGAAAAGTGAGAGGGGAAGAACGGGCGCCGGCTCTCTCCCCCAGCTCCCCGCACGAGCTGGACTGGAGTTCCGCACAGCTCTGCTGTTGCTCTGTATCTGGTCCCCGCCACCCTCACACCCACATACCTAAGTAGAGACCCCATCCATCTGCTGCCTCTAGCCAGTGCTGTCTCCTCCTTCCTTCCAGCCCACCGTACTCACACTACGAACAAGAGATGGGATGGGGACCAAGAAGCAGAGATAGGTAGTTAAGAGATGAAAATAGAAGGGGAAGAGGAGCGATATCCTTTAGGTGAGGGGCAGAGGAGAGTGGAGAGGGG